AGAAAAAGAAGACACAGAGTTAAAAGTCCCCCAAGAAAGACGGATGATGGATAAGAGGTTGGATGAGGACAGAATGTCTCAGGACGGAGGTTCAGCTCCAGCTCTGGACCGCTGTCCTACTTTTTGCTGCCACATTTAAATATTTCAGCTGCCGTTCCTAATGAACGTGTTCGCTCTTCTCCCTTCTGTCTTGGTTCATTCTTTTTTAACCAGTCTCTGCTCTCACTGATTCTCCCTCTGAATTTTACATGAGCTCATCACAGTGAAACTGTTCCACATCACCAACATTCAGGTAGGTCTCAACAAAACGGAAGACATAAGTAAATGTCAATGATTTGAAGTACTATAGTACATTCAATAAAGTACTTCTGTATTTCTGTGAAATATATTTCTTCAAAAAAAACCCTCAATGAAATTATAAAATCTGAAATGTAATAAAAATAAGACCATAAATAAATCAGAAATATACTAAAATTTTACTATGAAAGATGCATTTAATTTGTATTTTTCAAAACTTACCTTGTCCAGAAGATTTTTTTTGTTCCTTAATAGTTCCACATTGTCATCAGTAAAATCCACATCATGATAAAAAAAGTACAGTTCTATTTTTAAAGCTTTTTTTCCCCCTAAAATCTTCAGCGATGCATCAGGGTCTAAGTCTCTTAGATTCACTGCAGATTTGATGTAGTGAGGTACATGGGAGGGAGGGGGAGAGAGAGAGGGAGAGAGAGTGTGTGTGTGTGTCTGTCTCCTCCACCAAAGTCCGTAGGGAAAATCCATGATTTCATCTCACAGAAACAAGGCGGTTGTGGATGCACTGCTGCCTCCATCACTAAGTTCAAATGTGTGATTTTGTGTCAGTGTTTGACAGTCCTTTGTTCAGATTGACCTCAGTAACACACAGTGACCACAGAGGGCAGCAGTTAGCAGCAGCTCCTCTGTCGCTGTGAGCTAAAATCATTGATTTTCCCTGTGGACTTTGGTGTGGGAGATAGAGTCAGTTTAACAGTGTTAGCCATCTATCTAATGTTCACTAACAGTGTTAGCCATCTATCTAATGTTTGTCACTTTTTTTGCACACTAAGACCAGCAGGGGGAGCACATAGCTCAGACTTCGCCCACTATTTTAAGCGAGAGCCATTGCGTTTACCACTGAAGACCGTCAGTGGTATCGGTAGCAGAGACATAATCGGGTCAGTACCAGGAAAAGTTAAGATGCTGGGGAACACATGTATGAGTGATGTTTTTATTAGGCTCGCTTTTTTTTGTTTAGATAAAAACAACTTTTGAACCATATTCACAGCATCAGTTGGGTTTCAGACTGCTCGCTTTTTTTTGTTTAGATAAAAACTTTTGAACTATATTTACAGCATCAGTTGGGTTTCAGACGTTTGAACATTTAAAGATGTTTTGGAGGATTTCCAGGATGTAAATGTTGACCTGAATCGGCCCAGAGTTGTTCTGCCACCTGGTGCAGACAGATGTGACCTGAGAGGCTAGGGGCAGAGATAATGAGGAAGCAGGGAGGCGTCACTGAGGGGCTGAGTCCACCTGACAGACCCACACTGCTGTAATTGGACCTAGAGACATATTCTGGAACATGATGATGATCTGCAGGGTCAGGATCCAGGAGGAGATTCACAGAAACCTCACATCATTAAGACATGATTATTCCAATCTAAGACTACATCTTATTTCAAGTGAATAATTAAACTCTAAGAATGAGATCATATTTCTGTAAAAAAAGGTTACTCTGCAAGTCTCATAAGTATCTGTTCAACCTCAGGTGTTTTCTGTGCTTTTTTTAAAAAAAATAAGAACGCTCTTTCTTTTTCTTGTGAAAAGTGAAAGTGGGTGTTTGTGTTTATTGAAAAAATAAGAACGCTCTTTCTTTTTCTCTTGTGAAAGTGGGTGTTTGTGTTTATTATGCCAACAGGGGGCAGCAGTGTAACACCAGCCACCCTTTGTGAAAACAAACAGACGCGCTACAACGTCATTTCACTTCTGTCCTACCAGCGGAGCCGCTGTGGCTCTATACCCCGCCCCCTTGAGAAACCGCCATCATGAAATCTGAAAGTGGCTGCTGACAGATGAGACGCAGTTTACGGCTGGTCATTTAAGGTAAAACTGCATTTTTTGTCCAGCTTCCGCTGTAGTTTTTAACTATCTGATATCCAGGAGCATCTTGAGCTTTGTTTTGTTATTTCCTTCGGTTACAAAGAGATTTACCACTTATTTCCCCCTCCTGAAACCATTGTATTCTTCGGTGACGTTCTTATTATTGGAGCTAACGCCAGGGCTAGCACTAGCTGCTTACTGTTGATGCTGTGCTAATGTCTATGTTAATTTTTAAACTAATACAACATTGGAACGGTGGGATAATACGTCACTCAATACAGATACAGCGTCGAAGAGCTTCTGATATGTTTAGTTTAAACCGCGGTCCGGCGACAGGCTAACTTAAGAGCTAACATCGGTTAGAAGTTACAGCGCGCCAATCCATATAGACGTTTGTTGTGGAAGAATAAAGAGGCGAAACAGCGCCGCCATGAGCCGTGTGGACACAGACAGCCAGTCCTGCATCATTAAAATAAACAATGTTCATGATAAAGAGTATTTACGCTCACGAGTGATTTAAAAAAAATCCAGACAATATGCTTATTAGAAACAGGATCGGTTTGTGTGTTGGATGTAGTTTAACCTTAAACCAGATACATTCACTTGTGGATCAGAGTTTATGCTCCACCAGCACAGAAAAGAACAACACAAGAGTTAACAAAAAAATTTCAGTAACAAACAAAATCATAAGGAAAGATTACAATACAAACCTTTCTGATTACTTTAGTAAGAAACGTGTTGAATTCCACTATTAAGAACTGCAGTATAGTTTTAAAAAATGACCTGTTGAAACAGGTGACCATAACATAAAGGCATACAAATGTAGGCAGAGGTATAATGATAATATATATCAATAATATCAATTGTTTGGTCGCATCTGGCCCTGGTTTATACCTGGTTTATGACAAAGTGCACCTAGATTAAAATGGTGCATTTTAAGAGAAATATATTGATGACTATTATTAAAATGGTGCATTTTAAGAGAAATACATTGATGACTATTGATGGGTGACAGTTGTTTACCAAAATCATTTTATTTTCTTGAATTGAAAAATACTCTTTGTTCTTCCCAGTTAGGTAGAGGCAGCACAGAGATGAGCGAGGAAGTTATGGACAGCTCTGCAGTGTCAGAGGAGGAGGTTGATGACCAGCAGGAGGCGTCGCAAAACGACCAGTCCAGTCCTGACAAAAGTCCAACTAAAACGGCTGGTAAAGAGTCTTCTCTGTTTTGTTTCTGTGAAAGGATGTTAATGACAAATTACATTTTAGCTAATGTTTAATTAAAGCAGGAAAGACCCAATCATCTGAATTCATTTTTTTTTATTCATTTGTTTTTTCCAGTCGTTGGTGAAATTGTTGACGGCAAACGGGCAAAGAAAAAAGTGGAGCGGTTGGATTTTCAGGCACCGAAGCAAAAAGAGAAACTCAAGTTTGGAGATGGTAAAACTTTATTTATTTATTTATTTTTGGTGGTTGGAAAAGTACCGGCACTGCCTGAAAAAACATGGTCCTCATTACAAAAACAAAATGTACGCCTCAGGATGAATCACTGTTTACGCTGTCTGTGTCTGAACAAGTTCTAGAATAAAGAGAGTGACACACATCAAACTGTGTTTACATAAAATAAACCCTGTTTATTTGATGTTTTCCCTTTTTTTTTCTTCAGGGAGTGGAGATAAACTAGGAGACATTCCACGTACAAACTTCCAGATCACCAAGATGAAACCAGCTGACCTGAAACCTCTTCACACCATTCTGTTCGACAGACCGGGAAAGGTAGGAACCGCTGGACTGGACCTGATGGTTGTGTTTACGTTCTGTCCTCTTGTTAGACTTTAGAAATGGACCAGAACGTTAGGTTTAGTCTACATTACTGAATAACTAAATTGTACTTCTTTAAAAATAACTCTTATAAAAAAACGGTTGTCAACACTCTGTTAATGTGATAATTGGTTATTGTGACAAACTGAAAATTCATCAACGACACTAACAAGGGTTCAGTCACATAGAGATGCTGTGAGTGTGAATAACTGAGTGTCAATCAGACAGGTGGTAATGTTTGATTATGACAAAAATCATAATCAGGATTGTTTTAAATCATATTGAAACCATGATTAATTCCAAAGGATTATTCATTGATTTGAGAATTTGCTTTTATTGAACATAAACTGACAAAAATAACACAATGGCACAATAATCATTTTATGTTGATTACAGTGGAGCTTCAAGATAGGGGTTCAGACAGGCGGTAACTGTTTCCTCTGTGTTGATTTCCTCAGATGGCCTCCATAAAGAAGAACCTGCGTCTGTTCAACGGCTTTCCTTTCAGCGCCGACAGTGAGCAGTACAACAAGAAACGGGAGAAACTGCTGAAGTAAGTCTGTCTTTGGAGAAGTTTTATTTATTTACATCAACCTGTGGGTGCAGAACACAAGTACATTCAACATCTGTGTATTGTAGTCATTCAGCGTCCTTTGTGTCCTCAGTAGAACCTCCTTTTAAAAGATGTGAAACGGTGTCTTTGCAGGAACTCTCACTTCACAAACTCTAAGCTGAAAGTTGTGTGTGGAGTGTTGGATCTGGAGAAGAAAGGAACCCACTCTGACCTGGTGGACAGGATCATGACCTACCTCATCGCCCCCAAAAACAGTGGCAAGGTAAGAGTTTCAGCTCATCACAAAATCTACATCTAGTCTGTGGTGGAAAAAAAAATCTGAAAAGTTTCTCATCTGTGTCTGACTGCAGCGGGTTCCTGTGAAGAAGAGGAAATCGAAGAAGAAGCTTTCCGGTGACGACACCAAGACCAAGACACAGAAGAAGAAAACGTCCAAACCCAAGAACTCCTCGTCGTCACCGAGTCCCAAAAAGTCCAAGGCAGGAAGTAAGTCCAAAGCCATCGTCATGGACTCGAGCAGTGATGAAGACGATGAGGAAGAGAAGAAGGTCGGTGAGTCAGTAGAGGCCGAGGCTTCTGACCCCGAGGAGCAAGAGTCGGGAAAAGAAGAAGAAGAAGAAGAGGAGGAAGAGGAAAACTCTGAGTCTGAGGAGGAGCAAGAGGAGGAGGAGGAGGTCAGATTTCTCACAGCATTTATTTGTCAGACTGTGGACTAGTCCAGATGTTGGTTTTGTTCAACGTCAGACCAACACTCTAGTTCAGACTAGTTTGAATTTTTTAGTTTATAAAATGTTGTTTGAATTTACTTTACTGACTAAATATTTTTTTACTGTGTTCACTTTTCAACTGTCGACTTCAAACATTAACATCGTATGTATACATATATATGTATGTATGTATATGTATGTATGTTTGTATGTATGTGTGTATATATATATACACACACATATATATATACATATATGTATTTATGTATGTATATATATGTATTTTTATATGTAAATATATATATGGATATGTATATATAATTTTTTTTAACCAACTAAAACTTTTTCTCGTCAGGCTCCAAAGTCGAAGCCAGCCCGAGGGAAATCGGCTCCAAAGAAGAGACAGAGATCACCGACGAAGAAGTCCACTCCTCCTAAGAAAAGGGCGAGGAAGGTGGTGTCAGAGGAGTCGGAGTCAGAGGAGGAGTCAGAGGAGGACAGTGAAGAAGTCAGTGAGAAGGTGAACACATCTATACATAGTTAAAACATCGTTATCGTCTGTGCTGATAATTATCCGAGAGGTTACAGGGTTACCGTGGTAATAAAAAAGTTTTTGTTTTTGTTGTTGCCTCCTTCTCCTCCTTAGCCCCAAAAGAAAAAACCTGCTCCCGTCAAACCAGCAGCTAAGACGAAGAAGGCCGACAGCAGCAGCAACAGTAAAAACTCCAACGCAGGTGAGACCCTGATCAGCTGACAGGGACCTTATGTTGATTCTCCTCTGAAGACTTTGATGACGATGACGACTGTTGATGTGTTTTTCCTCCGCTCCTGGTCTCTCTGTCTCTGCTCTTCAGCGTTGGACGACAGCTCTGACGACGACGAGCCGCTCATCAAAATGATCAAGAAGGAGCCGAGCGACGAGCAGCTGAAGGAGACGGTGAAGAACCTGCTGAAGGACGCCAACCTGGAGGAGATGACCATGAAGCAGATCTGTCAAAGGGTGAGAGCCCGCGGACCTCAGCTGCTCACTGACGCCCTCTGTCTGAGCTGTGTGTTAACGCTGTGCTGGGCTAAAGGGGGGAGAGAGAAGTCACCCGTCTCCCTCTCTCCCCCATCACTGTGTGTGTTTTTTTTTACTTCCTATTTTTCTGACACTGTTGATGTTTTCAGGTCTTTGACAACTTCCCAGACCACGACCTGACCAACAGGAAAGACTTCATCAAACAGACAGTCAAAACTGTGAGCACGCACACACACACACACTCTAATGCTGTTTAGGAGTTGATAATAATCCAACTATTTAAAATGTATACATTATTTTGCTTACATCACTGCAGTACTTTGACAGTACTACGACTATTAGTGAGTGTTGACCTTGTCAACTCTCGTCTCTTACATCTTCTTTAAACTAATTTGCCAATAATCGTCTTTTACAAAAATTTAAACTTTTATATTTCTTAAAGTTTGTTAGACCTTTGATGAATTAGGATGCAGGGTGAATATGTTCATGTACTCACCCACCTGACCACCAGAGGGCGGGTCCACCAGAGTCCTTGATAGTGACGTGTAAAAACATGATTTAAAGAATTCACCAAAGTTAAAATGAAAAACATTCTTGTGACATTTTGTTCTCCCGTCACAGCTGATCACATGAAGATCTGAAGGAGGAAGAACGTTCTCGTAAGAAGATTTTTTGTTTTCACTTGTTTGTTGTTTTCACATATATTTTATAACTGATTTTTTTTTTTAGAAAATTACGGTGTGGGTGTTTTCACATTTGTTCACATTCGTCACAGTGTAAATTTTTTAGTAAAAGTTTAAAACTAACACAAGCGTCTTTCCTTGTTTTTAAATCCATCATGCTCAGAAAGTTTCTCCTGTAAATAAACAAAAAGCTCCTTTGTTTATTTTTATTTTGTATAAAAATATGTAAAAATATATTTAATGATAACAACCTGGGAAAAAAACAGCTGCAAATTTTTACTTTCTGATTTGAAATAAACCATTTTGAGAAAAAAAAACTCAGGTTTGTTTGGTTTTTTTTTTTTGTAAAGATTAATGTCATGATTTGTTTGGCTGCATTCATAAAACACGTTATAGTTTTTAATTCTCAGTAGGGGGCGGTAGTGCTACAAGACAAAAACATTTTAATCTACAGTTTTGACTAATCTTATTCTACTGTTTCAACCACAGGAACAAAGTCCAGCACCGGGAACTGAATGTTAAGGAACAGTCCTGATTGGCCAGAACCTGATCCAGGCCTTAATTCAGTTTTAGCAGACGACACAGCAGAGGAGCTTGTAATTTTATAAACTGACAAAAATTTAGGTTTCTCACCAGGAGTTTCAAAAACAAACCTGTCAGACTGAATTGGGTGAAGTTTTTATTTTCTATGTCTTTTTTTTTGTTTGTTTTGTTCCTAAAGTTTTTTTATCATGTACCTCTTAACAGCGACAAAACAAACCTTAAAACGATCCCTTTAACAGGGATTTAAACACAGACAAACACCTGTTCAAAGACAACAGCCTCACTTTTTAAACAGTTCTCATGGAGCTGCTGTACGGATCCTTAATAACATGAAAAGAGACAAAGCAGGAAACTTAAAAAAACAACAAAAAACCATGAGCTAAGGTTTAACATCTTTGTGGACTTACCTGTCTCTAACGATGACTTTAGACAAATATTAGAGTTTTTTTTCTTCTTCTTCTTCCGCCTCATGTTTTAGTTCAGTGACTGTCCAGAGTTCAGGGAGGCGGGGCCTGTAGCTGTGATGTCATTATTGTGATTTTCACCAAACATACACATCAGTAGAGCGGTGACATCAGACCTTACCTGTTAGTCCACAGGGAACTTTGTACCAACAGGGGGCAGTCTGACAGTGTGAAGGACTGGACAGGATCTGTTGTTTCTGCAGCAGCAGGTTCTCCTCCTCTTCCTCCTCTTCCTCCTCCTCTTCACTACAGTTTCATTAAATATTTTTCTCTGTCTCTAACGTTTGTACCGCTGTGTTCCTGGTCCTTCATTCACGGAGGAGGAGCTCGACCTCCTGACCCCTGACTCCTGGCTCTCTCCCCTCTCTCATTGGCTGCTGCTGCTGCTCTCTCCCAGCAGCCAGTAAGTGGTCATCTTTCCTTTGCCCTTGACCTCGATCTCTCCTCGGAGCTCCAGCTGGAAACAGTTGAACTGCAGCAGGACGTCGCGGGTCGCCGCCGACACGTGGATCTTCAGCGCTGCACAGAAAAAATATCAAATTACAAACTGACATATTTTTTTCAAAATGTTATTTATGGCTGATGTGTTTTGAAAACATTTCCAAACCTGTGGACATTTATTTATTTATTTATAAACCTGTGATAGTTTAAAAGGGTCATAGGTCACTGACCTTCACCACTGGACTCCATACGTGATGATGTGTTTACCGTGTCGCCAAACAGACAATAACGAGGCATCTTCAGACCCACCACCCCCGCACACACTGGACCTACACACACACAGACACACATACACACACAGGAAACAGGAAGTGTGAAGGTGAGCACGAAAACAACAGAACTTTAAATCCTACATCAACTTCAGTCCCTGATTTTTCTCCATGACTGTGTAAAATCCTGTCTAAAGTTTCCTCTCGGCAGGGGGCGCTCACGTCAACTCTCTACACCCGTCTCTCTCTCTCTCAGATTCCTCACCGCTGTGGATCCCGATCCTCAGCTTCAGCTGCTGCTCGGCTCGGTGTCGGATCTTGAAGGTTCTGACTCCGTCCAGTAGAGCCAGGGCCATGCGGGCGATCTCTCTGCCGTGGAGGTTCCCACCGGACACCACCAGGTATGCGTCGCCGATGGTCTCCACCTGGGGGCGCAGCGGTAGCACAAATGAACGGCGAGCCTCAGCATCAGGTCCGACTTTAAGGCTTCACTTTTCTGTTCTAATTTGTTTTCATTAGGTTTAACATACGAGCCTCAGCATCAGGTCCGACTTTAATGCTTCACTTTTCTGTTCTAATTTGTTAGTTTTCATTAGGTTTGACATGTTCTTTTTTTCACGGATGTTTTTAAGTTAAAAGAAATGACTTGATGATTGTTTTTGTCTGTGACAGATTCACCTTGTAAACGTCAAAGTTGTCAATGATGGCGTCAAAACACGTGTAGAGGTCGTTGAGCAGCGCCACCACCTGTTCAGCAACAGAATGGACAAGGTGCAATCATTACAGAGAGTTTTAAGGAATTTTCTGTCAGAATCTACAGATACATTTTTAACTGTTGGTTTTTCTCTCCCTCCGTCCCCTCACCTCCATCGGAGTACTCTCTGCTGAAATGGCCGTAAAGCCCACGATGTCACTGAAGTAGATGGTGACGGAGTCGAAGGCCTCGGCCTGGACCGTCTCTCCTCGCTTCAGCTGCTCCGCCACTGAGCTGAGGGAACAGGAGGAGTTCAGTTCTGACCAGACCGACACTGAAGTACACAGTAACGGGACTGACGCTGTGAGTACTACTGCAGTACTGACTGTGGTAGTATCTGGTAGAGCAGGGCCTCGGCCTTGCGTTTCTCCTCGTGGTACGCCTGCGTTCTCTCCTCCACCAGCTCCTCCAGGTTGTTGGCGTACTGCTCCATGCGAGACAGAAGGTTGTCCAGGATGTTGGTTCTGGACTCCCTGCACACAGACCGTCACAGGTCAGAAGGACGTTTTCAAACTCTCCACAGCAAAACCCCCAAAAACTCACAGCCAACCAGCAGCCTCTGGTCCACTGCTGCCTCCTGTGGTCAGTTTGTGTCACTGGGGTAAAGCACTGGAGGCAGCAGTGGGTCAGGGATTTAAAGTCGTTGATTTCCTGGTCTCGGCTTCTCACTTGTTCTGTTTACGTAGCAGCAGCTGAATGTGGTTGAACTCCGGTCTCTCTGTCGGCTCCTCCGCCCAGCAGCGCTGCATCAGCTGGCCCAGTTCTGGACTGTGGCTCTGAGGGTCCAAGCTGGGCCTCAGGCAGGGCCACTCGCCCAGAATCACCCGGTCCACGATCTCTGTGGGAAGTCATGGAGACGCATCCTTTAGTTAATATTAAAAATGTTTTTTTCTGTTTTGACTTTCACTCCATTGATGCTTGTGTGCAATCATTAACCATCTTGTATTACCAAATGTCACCACTAGAGGTCCTTAAATACATTTTTTGACCCAACCAACCTTTGGGGCTGAGTGGGTCTCCCTCAAGGTAGAAAACCCCCCGTCGCAGCGCCACCTCCTGGAGGATAATGCCGAAGCTGTAGATGTCTCCTTTCTGTGTTCCGTGTGGGGGCGGAGCCTCCATCCTGAGCAGCTCCGGCGCCATCCATAACCTCTCTGCAGAAGCGAAAGAGGGCGGAGTCACAAAAGCAATATATACAGGCTAAAACAGGTCGGACCACCAGGGGGCAGACACTCACGAGTGTAGTAGCAGTGGGCGTCTTTTCCCGAGTCGCTGTCGTAGCGGAAGCTGGACAAACCGTAGTCGGTGATCCTGAGGACGAAGCGATTGTCCACCACACAGTTGGACGACTTGAGTTTTCCGTGAGAGAAGATGACGCTGTTGTGGAGGAAAACCATTCCCTGAAGGGACAGGAAACAGGAAGTTGGTACTACGGCAGAGACGGCGATTTACCCGGCGTGGTGAACAGAAGTTGGCGTTTACCTTGACGAGGTCGTTGATGAGAGAGTACTTGAACATCCAGTCCAGAGAGATGCTGTCGTTCTCCAGAATGTCCTGAAGACAGAAATACACACAAGTCCAGGACAGACCAGAGGACAGAGACCAGAGGACGGACAGACCAGAGGACAGAGACCAGAGGACGGACAGAGGGACGAGGACGTGGTACCTGCAGACTTCCTCGTGGGCAGTACTCAGTGACGATACAGATGTTGGGCGGATCGATGCACGCTCCGATGAAACGGGTCAAATGTTCGTTCTGGACGTCGCGCATCTGCAGCAAAAAACAGGAAAAAAAGTGTTTTTTTTTTTTTTTTTTTAAATCAATTTTTATTTATTAAAAATAGAATCCAGGTTTTTGGATTTTTTCACCACCATGACCAAAGGACGACCAAAACAAAGAAATATTTTCTCACAGCTGCGGGTGGCCGCGGGCCTTGAAAGGTCATGACCCTGAGGTCTTACGTTTACGTTCCTGTCATTTCTCACTCACATGTTTGAGTTCAAACAACACCTTCCTGTTCAGCTCGATTCGTTTCCTGTTGATGTATTTGATGGCGACGATGTTTCCCTGAAAACAGAAACGGTCGTCAGTCCAACGTCAGACTGACGATTAATCAGGCTGGAAAATGATTTAAAACTTTTTTGTTTTGTTTAGCTTTAACTGCAGTAAACTCATCCACTTCCTGTACAAAGTTTCCTGGAATTTAAAGAGGCCGCGGCACCAGAATAAATCAGCAGTAAAACCTCACCTTGTAATAACCTGTTTTGGCAAAAATCTGCATATTCCCCTCTGCCGTCATCAGGGAGCCATAGTTTGAGCCACGCTGAAGACAAGGACAAACGCAGTCAGACAGCAGATATAGGACAAATATTAAACCCGTGAAGAAACATGTTTGTTTTTGTTTTTTTTGTCACCAGTGACAGTGTGATTCTGCTGTTGCTCCTCAGAACTTTGATCATGTTGCTCATCTGAATGTCGTCCCAGGTGATTCTCCAGAGCTGAGCCACCAGCTCCTTCTCCAGCTTCATCCTCCTGCTCACAGGGAGAGGTCAGAGGTCAGGAGGTCAACTGCTGCAGTCAGTACATGGACAAACACCCAGGCTTCACTCCTCCTTCACGGGGGAATCACCCGTCTCACCTGTAGACGAAGACGGCGACGGTCAGCATCATGGTGAAGATGAAGACGACCACGATGGAGACCATCTGGTGGATGGTGATGGTTTCTGGAGGAGAGAACAGGGTCAGATGTTTGTTCATCTACAGCAGGGGTGTCAAACTCATTTTCACCGGGGGCCACGTTAGCAATACAGCTCCATTTGAAGGGCCGGCTGTCAATGGAAGACTGTATAGATTAGGGGTGCCCAACCCCTGGTCCGCGGACCAGTACCAGCCCGTAGGTAATTTGATACCAGGCTGCAGTGGAACACAGTGAACAAAATGTATTTAATTTTTACTGATTTACTGAAAATCCACTCAAATCTTTCTTTATTTAAGGATAATCTGGCAATATTTTAAAATAAAAGTCATTCAGACAGAAACAGAATAGAGTCTAAACTTTAATGATCCTTCAATGCTGAGTACCTTGGTACAGGTCTGTACTAATGGGTGGTACTAACTGACCAATCCTTGGAACAATAAAGGTTAGGGACTGCTGGTACAGATGTAACTACTCCATTGATTATTATTTGATTGATTATAAAAAACTTTTCATTTCTCAGGTTAAGAAACTCTTCTGCGTGGACTTTACTAAATGTTTTTTAAGCTCCCGCGGGCCACACAAAACAGCTTAGCGGGCCGCATTTGACCCCCCGGGCCTTGAGTTTGACACCTATGATCTACAGGGTTCATTTAAACGGAGGCTATCCTCACATGCTAACGAGGTTTTATTTTGTAACATTTTAAAATGATGATAAAATCTTTTCTAATTTTTTTTCTTCTCCCTCTCTCTCTCCCTCTATCTCTCTCCCTCTCTCTTTCTCCTTCCTAAAACTGATGAACTGGAACAGAGAACAGTTACTGACTGGCCAGGCAGATCGGGTTGTCGTTCTTGAAACCACAGAGTGGAACATCAGGAGGAGGCGCTCCGCCCAGCCACAGCAGGGACGTCCCAGGTATGGCTGTCAACTGTTCCTCTGAGCTGTTATAGGCCAGAACGATCTGGAAGCAGAGCAGCAGCAGAACATGGTCATAGTCAGTCACACACTGTCAGTGTGTGTGTGTGTGTGATCGTCCGTCACCTGGAAGTCACTTGTGTTAGCATCGATCATGTCCCACAGAGCGAAGTCCGTCTCTCGGTCTCCGGTCTCGTCCAGCTGAACGAGTCCCGTCACACCTGAGAAAATCAAACAGACGTTCAGCCTCGGCCGACTCAGCAGCTGTTGATTCACCACTGCCTTCTTTGACCACAGGGGGCAGCGGTGGACCAGCAGCTCTGAACTGGTGTGTGGTTCACAGACTTCACTTCCTCCTGGTATTTACAGGTGGTTAAATTATCTCTCTGGATAAAACTGTCTGTAGGGTTTGTTTCTCAGTCTGATCCTCAGCAGCAGGGGGCGCTCACAGCACAATCAGCGCTGTAAGAAGTGTGTCAATCACACTTGTATTAATGTGTGTGTGTGTGTAAATGGAAATGAAAATAGATCAGAGGTTAATTACAGACAATTAGCAGTTAGCACCTCAGACGACTGGACTCCATGGAAACGGAGCAGTTAGAGAAGAAGAAGAAAGCTAATGAGAAAACCAATCAGCGCCGACATGGAGTGGAACAACAGAAACACAACACAAACACAACACAACACAACACAACACACAGGCAGAGCCAACGTTCTCTCTGAAGAACAGGAACCAGAGAATTCTGTCTCCTCTGCTGCGAACTGTAGACTCCAAACATCTGACCTTTTCCTTTTAACCTGCTTTTTTATTCCTGGGTGGGAACACACACACACACACACACACACACACACACACACACACTGGTGATTACATTCAATTTTATGTGTTCCTGATAAGTGATGCATGGCTTTCCAGGAATAACAGTCTCAGTGTGTGCGTGTGTGTGTGTGTGTGTGTGTGTGTGTGCAGCAGTTTTTCCAGCAGGTACAGAACAGTAAAAATGAATCATTGATCTAAATCTCTGGTTCCTGTTCCAACAGCACGACAGTCACAGAAACACAAACACGAAGCAGTAAAACCGTCACAGTTCCCACACTGCCCACAGCTTCATACAGACGTTAGCTTAAAGTACAACCTGCAGCTAACCACGATACGCTAAAGAAACCGCCAAACTAAAAGGTAGCCACACGTTAGCTAGCTAGTGAGCTAGTAATTAGCCCAGATTGGGCTACAGGTTCAGGTGGAGTCTGTAGGTCAGTGTTGATGGTGTGGACGTGTCTGTGCTGCAGTCAAACTGCTGACACACAGGAAGTCGTCAGCGTCTGTGGTTCCATTAGTTAATGGAGAGGAAACGGATGTAAACTGATCCTGAAGAGTCGGTCGGACTGTTCCCTCCTCCACCTCCTGTCCGTCAGGGACGTTATCTGAGATCAGACCAGATTACTCACACTCACACACACAGGACCCCCCCTCCTCTGACCCCCCTCTCCTCTGACCCCCCCTCCTC